CAGGGAAACAGCGGGAAAAGGAACAGGACACATAACAGGGGGTGTAGCAGGCGGCTGTGGAGCGGGAACCGAACTCTCTGAATTGGACTCGGCGCTCATGAAAACAGACTCGGGATCAGCACTCTCCGAAGCGGACTCGGAAACCAAGCTCCTCGAATCAGTCACAGAAACAGCGCTATCAGTGGTTGAATCTGGAACTACGCTCTCTGTAGTGGAGTCAGAAACAGCGCTCTCTGCCACTGACTCTGGAACCGTCCTCTCTGCAGCAGACTCAGGATCAGCCTTCTCAGCCACACACTCGGGCATTGTGCTTCCTGCAGCAGGTCCAGGAACAGCTCTCACTGTAGCCGCGGCAGGTTGAGGACTCATAGCGGACACAGGGGGAGATAGGGACGGAGGACAGAGAGCCCTCTTCTTCCTCCTCTTTCTCCTTGGCCGCGGGACAGAGGCCATGACCGAACTAGTAGCCGGCAATGAAGAATCACCGGGGTCCTTCGCTGGAACTGGGGAAACCACCACCGGCAAGGAAGACTCTGGAGAGGAGGATTCCGAAACTGACTCCCACGATAAATGTCTTCCTCGCTTACCGCGGAGGCTGACCGATGCGACAGGTGTCTCGGGAGTCGAGTGAGCTTGGTCCCCAAGCGTAGCAACAGCAAGAACGTGACCCTCCGGGATCACAGGTAGTGTGGCAAGGGGTGACGACACGGTGGGACCCTGCAGCTCCTTTTGACACAAATAGTCCACCATGTCCCGGAACGGGCGGTGGACCAGCCTCTCCCGTTCAGCCAGAGGAGGGGGAACATTGAGACCCGCGATGAGGTAACGGTTGGTGAGGATCTCAGGTAAGAAAAGCCTCCTTGCTTCCACGGCCTGGGCATATATCCTCAGGGACCTCTCTCCCTGGGGAGGGAAAGGAAGCTTGCCCAACCTGCTGTCGGCGATGGCCGACTGCCACCACAATTCCTGGTCAGTCGACTGTCGAATAGCAGGAAAAGACATACAGTCTGCTGGGTTCTGTTTTGGCCGGTTCATTCTGTTATGATGATAGCAGAAGAACCCAAGCGCAGACGGTAGACAATTACACAACGTTTATTATAACAGAAAAACAGGGGAAAATAAAGCCCACGATGGGGCAAAACAGAGGCAATACAAACGAGGGATAACTAAACTAGATAACACTTGACAAACACTAGACTATTAAACAGCAAATACAAGATCAAGACGTTCTTCTAAGACAAGGTACTCACAGGTAGACTCTCACAAAGTGTGACACAATGAACCGGCCCAGGACAGCAAACACAAGGGGATGAAATAGGGGAACACTAATGACAAAGACAGGTGAAACTGACTAGACAATAATGACAAGACGAGGGTAATAAGGGGGCGGAGTTACATAACGAGACATCACAAGCACATGGCCAAAACACAAGACCATGTGCTTGCACACAAAACATGATTCTGTCATGATCCTGCCTCAAGACTAGAGAAAATCAGGGACACGAGGGCAGAATCATGACATTTCCTTACAACTTGCTGAATCAGTCAAAAAGTCTCATATGGCAGTTCGATTAGTGCCAACAGCCAGTGACGCACCACAAAAACTAGGCCAATTAGGCACATTGGCCTGACTTTGCCATGACCTCGATCTTAAAAAAGAAATATAATTTTTGATTTGATTTACAGCATTTAAATAATCTAATTTATATAATCTAAACAGTTTACAAACATTTATGTCCAGTTTATGCATGTGATAAAGATGTTCCAGTAAAACCACAACTCCTTAACCCCCATAGTCACACAAGCCCCCCCCCCAACAATCAGATATGGCCAAATTGTCTTCCAAACATGTCTTCCTGTACTTGTTTACACTGACAAGACTAAAACATGTGCAAATAATTAATTTTTGAGATCAAAATGACAATTACGTCAACTGGGTGTCTTCCACGCTGGCCCTGAGCCATTGGGCAGTCTTTATTGTTGAACCCTGAAAAGTATATGAAAGTATAGCCAATATTCCTATTTTAGCATACTCTGTTCACACTGTTTATTTTGCTGAAAATGCGGTTGTGACTCGAGTATTAACAGAATGAAAAAAGTTATTCTCCCTGTGCAGAGAGGATGGGTTTGAGAAAGCTGTCAGTTACCTGTCTTTTAGCAACAAAATGTGATGCTTCTACAGGGTTCAAATAGAAGCTCAACAGAAACCGCAAAACATTTCATGATGAAGTGAGTGCTGGAAAACTAGAGTCTATGGGTGCTGTTGAGAGAGGGAATCCCCAATCCACGGGAGAGGAGTGACATATCAAACGAGCTATAAAATATGGGTATCAACACTAGAGCACCAGGACATCCAACTTCATGTTATGTAGTTTTATGTAGGCCTAATCGTTGACATGCAGATGAATAAAACATCAGAGGAGGATTTAGAAGAATCTGCAAGGTGCTGTGCTGCAACATTGCGGTAAACACACGTATAACACTAGGTGGCGCTAAAATAAAACAATTTGCATTTTGCTTTGAAACAAACAAAATATGTGTAGGCTATATACCAGAAAACTTGTATATAAAAAATATATATATCTCCGATTTAATTTCCACCTATAAAATGTCTGCAATTTACAATTTTCCTATCCTCCGATAAGGGGCGCTACAACAAAAAAACCTTTATAACTGCAGCCGTATAATCCATGAAGTTGAAAATTGGTAGGCATCTTCTCTGATGGACGTCCTAACGTATCCTATATGACTTGCAGTGCGTCCGAAATCGTATAGGAAATCGAAATCTGTCTGAGTAGGTACTACAATGGAATTTGAATTTACTTCAAGACAGTTAAAAAAAATTGTTCTATATAGTAAGAATATGGGTAGTATAAATTAAATTCGGACGTACTACATCCACCATGTTGCCATTGTCATGTGACCTACCACCAGTTGCATCACTTCACTTCCATTCATAAATCCTCTCCCGTGGCTTCATGCGATAGTAAAATGTCCATCGAATCTGTACAGTTTTTTGCATACTATATAGAATGGCAGTATTTTGATTTCACAAAAGTGGAACTATTTGTACACGATGGCTGCGTCCGAAATCGTATAGGCCTACTCTCTTGAGTAGGTACTTATTTTGAATACGTAATTACTTCACAGCCACTAAAAAGAGCGTTCTATATAGTATAAATGTGTGTATTATGAATGTAACCTGGACGTACTACATTCACCATGTTGTTATTATCATAGACATAATAAATACACAGACGCCCTCTTGGCCGCTTTGGAACGTTGCTGCGATACGTCAACGCGTCCGCCATTTTGCTGAGGGCAAGACTGCACTGTAAACAAAGGCAAGTAAATGGGTGAGCTGCGGATTTTCTGGATAAAAGCAAAAATAACGTTTACATTTATCAACCGTTCAGTGGTTCGTACGCGGTGTACAAAAAGTTACATCTCTAGTTATTTAAAATCTTGATAGTTAGACGTAAAAAATTGTTTTTTAATAAGGAATTGTCAAAGCTCAGACTTGTCATGTATTTGGCTTTTTATTCTTGGATAAGAATTGTGAAGACCCCATACTGAGATAAAATGTAATTTTCACATTAAATAAAATAAAGTTTACTTTACTTTACTCTGTTCCTTGCTTTTTGAAGAAGCCAAGCACATGTCTGCATCTGTCATTAAAGAGATAGTTAAGGGGATAGTTCACCCAAAAATGAAAATGACAGAACTGTAAATTACTCCCTAGCTTACCGCATCTAGGTTTCCTTCGGAGAAGCTTTGCCGCTTTACACAACCAAATCAGTGTCACTGGTAGGGACACGTCCCTCTGGCGACCCTACTAAATTATACGGCCCTGTGCTTTTGAATCTCGCGGTACTTTGATAAACAGATCGGTATGTGCCGGTTAAAGTCGAACGATTAGTCTTATGCATAGACAGTAAAAGGGGGGTCTTATGTCTATGGTTATTATCACTACCAGCGTCAGTTGTGTCGCTTTTCTGCCATTCACAAATCATCTCCCGTGGCCTCATGGGATTGTAAAGTGTCCTTTAGAGGCACACTTCAGAATCTCGCTGGAAGAAGTAGGTCATCCGGGTACTTTTTGACTACACTTTTATGAGTTCTGTGAATTTGGACATACTACTCTTGTCACATACTGTGTTTACCTATGTAGTAGGGAAATATGCGAGGTTTGTTTGGTCAAAATCAGCCACATGGTGGCACTATAATAAGCAACTTCACATTTAAGCAAATAACTCTACAGAATCAAAATAATTTATTCTGCATCCTTGCTTAAAGCATGAACAATGGTAAAGCTATTTTTTTATGATTATCTAACAAACCCCCCCCCCCCCCCCCCCCATTCTAATAAAAAAATTAAAAAAAATTAAACTCCTTTGCCGTTTTTCAGACCTTTACTAAACTTTCCACAAATAAGCTCTCTAGACCATGCTGACAAACTTATCAAAACTATTTTTGGTCTATTAAACAGTTTAGGAGATACAAATTTTTACACTGCTGTCATTATGATTATGTCTATATCTTACACACGTATTTATCTTGTGTAAACACTTTGTAGAACAAATGGAGAAGATAAGTGGAAAACATATTTTTGCAGTAAAAAAAAAAATTCTAGCCACTCCTGCTGAACGGAATTTAGTGAAACATGATCCCCACGAATCCGGGAACAGGGCTTAACTTATAATGTAATGATATTAAACAATGCCCAAAGGATGCATGCCAGTACAACAAACTTATCCAAAACAACTAGCACTAGTAGAAACTCTTCAGAGATCATTACTAATGTATCTAAGTAACTGTTCAGTTCACTAATCAAACTCCCGTGCAATGATGCAACTGGTGCCAAACGTCAGCCAAATGAAATATGAATCTGTCAACTGAATTATGTCCATACTTGTAACTTCCGTTAGTGCTGTTGTGTATCACAATCTGTAGTCCTTCCTTGTTTCAATGATGCACTCTGAAGAGGGCGTGGCTAAAGTTTTATTTTAGAGTGAATAAATAATCATCGCATCTTCTTTGGATATTCAATCTTTATTGAGCAGGGATTGAACATGGAGGTCTACACATCAACTGCATGTATGACAGCAAATTTTTTAAAGTTTTGAGTTGCCTTATAGATTTGTTTTGTATAAATATTATTTTTAAATATTATTATTTTTTTTTATTGCAGGTGTGACAATCTTGTGCATTATTGCCACATTCTCTGCACAAGGTAAGTAAACACTAAAATTAAACTTTAGACATGCTTGTATTTAGGCTAGGCTACTATTAGTTTTTTTAGTGTCAGATAATGTCATTTATATGAGTAAGTCATTAAAATGAATAATTGAGTCATTTCAATATTAGTGGTTTATATAAAGCAGTGCCTTGTTAAGGATTTATATATGCAACCACGCATGTGGAGAATGATTAGCTACAATTTAGTGTGTCAGGGTTTTTTTTTTTTTTTTTTTTTTGAATGGAGGCGGGACGTTTTGATGCTCTGTATGAGCAAAGCACTTTTGTGTCGAGTGATGAAGTTGCTCCCGGTGGAGCGCGCTCGAAGTAGCATAGAGAGAGAAAGCTGTATCTGGGAGTTTGGCAAATAGTAGGCTACAGACAGCCAGTGCAAGGAAAAGTAAGGAACTGTTACAAACCCACCGAGACTGGATACGGGTTGACTTTGCTTCCAGGGACATTATGTTTGTGGTAGTGGAGCAGTTGATTACTCTTGGCATGATTTGGGACCATTTACACAGAACGCGGTGTCTTATTCCACTGCGCTACTGCATGTGTTCTTGTTTATCTTTGAAAAACACGTGTTTTGGCGTATTTTGCAGCGCGATACGGCGTTCTAAAAACGCGGCGCTAAAGTTCAACAACGAGTTCAAGAAGTTCAACTTTTAAAAAAACGCGCCTCTAGGCAGTGCGGTGTTTATTATCTCGTTCGCTGACCCGTGCCTCTCGTTTTCTAATAACGCGAAAACCTGTTTACTGTACTTCTGTGCCGTTTCCAAACTTTTGGATTAGATTTTGTGATGAATTCCGTTGTTTTGCTTTCTGTTTTGACATGTATTTTTACGCTTTGTTGAATGCAGACCATAGATACTCTCATTCTCTGTTTTCAGAAAGAAATATTATATATTTACTTTAAGTATTAATCTTATCATCATCTACACACCCTCAAGTTGTTCCAAACCTGTATGAGTTTCTTTCTTCTGTTGAGCACAAAGGAAGATATTTTGAAGAATGTTGGTAACCATGCAATTGACTCCAGTGACTTTAATAGTCATTCTTTTACTACTATGGAAGTCAATGGCTACAACTGTTTGATTACCAACATTTTTTTAAATGTCTTATTTTGTGTCCAACAGAAAAAGAGAAGCCCGTACAGGTTTGGAACAACTTGAGGGAGTAAATTGTGATGGGTAAAGCGCCAATTTACACTGCTCTGACAGTCGCCAGATTACACAAGATATTCCAAGACTTTCTGTGAAAATATGTGCAGACCACACTGTTCCAACAAAAACCAACAAACTTGTCTGTTGCTGTTGGTTGGCGCCTGTCAGAGCAGTGTGTTAATTGGCCTTTAGCCTATCAGTAGGGCGTAAGGTGAGAGTACAAGAATTTAAATCATTAATACGTGGAAACTGCTGCTTAAAAAAATTCACATATTAAAAGAAGAAAATCAGACCCCACATTCAACCACACAACATGATTCCCATTAATAAAAGTATTCACTTTTGCAAGAAAATTCACTGACTCATGGATAGGTTAGGTTAAAGGGATAGTTCACCTGAAAAATGAAATACTTCATTAATACATATTTAAATTATTTCATTGAAAATGAAATACTTCATTTTTTAAATGTATCACTTTATCATGCACTCACATAAAATCGTTACAAACCTGTTTGGCTTCCTTCTGTGGAAAACAAAAGAAGATATTTTGAAGAACTGTTTTTGTCCATTCAATGAAAGTCAGTTGTTTTGGACCTCTCTGACGATTGTATGAATGAAAAAAAGGAGAAAAAAACATTGTGACATTTGGAACAACATGAGGCTGAGTAAATTATGACAGAATTTTCATTTTTATTAAAGGAAATCATGAAATGCTGTTCACAATGCTTTTTTTGTCACTAAAAGTGTAGGGAGAGGTTTACATTTGCCTGCCAGGTATTTTGAAAAGTGTGTGTTACATACCAGAATAGAGGGATCTCCCTTCTCATTCCCTTTTTCATGCCATTATGATGACATCAGCAAAAAAAGAGGCATATCAAGTTACTGCATTTTGATTCAAGATTTCAAATAGTTTGCACTGTTTATTTGTTCACAATAAGACCAGGAACTTGCACTAAGTACATTTCATATAAAAAATTACTCCATTACTCCAGTTACCACTTTTTACAATGAATAATCTCTTTGTTCCTCAGGAATTGCTGACACTGGAAGCCAGTAAGTGACCTTACACAGACCATTAATAAGAGAGCCTCTGAACATAGTTTTAGAGAGATTTTTTTATTATTATTTATTTATTTTACATTTATTTGAACAGTTTAAATTAACAGAATGTTTTGGTAAATATCAAATCAGACTGATTTGTCCTGTTTATAATGTCAGCAGCAACACGGGTTCCAGTTGGCCTATGGAAAGCAGCCCCCCGTTGCGATGTGGAAATCTGTCTCTCATCAGCTCAGGAAATTCGTGCTGTAATGGTAGGAAAGACTCCTGCAACTCTCAGTTTGTGGCTGCTGAGTCACAGGAAAATGTGATTCACAAATAGGAAGTAAACAATGAGATAAGGTTCAAGGCTGGACAATGAAACTGAAACACCTGGGTTTAGACCACAATAATGTATAGGTATAAATTCTCAGAAAATTCTCTTTTTCCATTCTTCTTGGAAATGACAGATACAAGTCCTTCCCAGCGACCGGAAGGATTTTGAGCCATTCCTCTTGCAGAACAGTATCCAGGTCACTGTGTGATTCTGCTGGAGGAAAACGCTTTCTGACTTGCTTCTCCAAAACACCCCCAAGTGGTTTAATAATATTGAGATCTGTTGACTGTGCAGGCCATGGGAGATGTTCAACTTCACTTTCATGTTCCATTCTGTCACCAGTCGTGCTGTGTGTATTGGTCCATTATCATCCTGATGCATGGCAACATGGTCCTCCAGAATGGTTCAGTAGTTCTTGGCAGTAACGCCCATCAAGGAATTTAGGGAATGGCATGATATTGCAGCACAAACCATCACTGATCCACCGCAGTGCTTCACTCTGGCCAGCAACAGTTCAGCTTCTTTGAGGATTCTCCACACCGTAACTCTCCCGGATGTGGCGAAAACATTGATGGTGGACTCATCAGGGAATAGTACATGTTTCACATTGTCCACAGCCCAAGATTTGTACTGTTGGATCTAATGAAACATTTTGCATTGGCACGAGTGACCAAAGGTTTGGCTCTAGCAGCCTGACCATGATTACTGACCCTGTGAATCTCCTGACAAACAGTTTTTGTGATAACAGAAAAGGCGAGCTGCAAGTTTAATTCTGCATTGAGTTGGGCGGCTGTGGTTTTGGTTTTTTTGGATACAATCTGGGTTAGTACGTGGACATCTCTTTCGTCAACAGTTACTCCTGTTGGATGTGGTTCGCCCTTCATGGAAGTATGCCAGCAGCCATATATCACCATTTAGCCCAAGACTGGTTGCCCACTGAAGCTATAAGCAGGGTTGAGCCTGGTCAGTACCTGGATGGGAGACTCCTGGGAAAACCAGGTTGCTGCTGGAAGAGGTGTAAGTGAGGCCGTTAGGGGGCGCTCACCCTGTGGTCTGTGTGGGTCCTAATTCCCCAGTATAGTGATCGGGACACTATACTGTCAAAAGAGCACCGCCCTTCAGATGAAACATTAAACCGAAGTCCTGACTCTCTGTGGTCATTAAAAATCCCAGGATGTCCTTCGAAAAAGAGTAGGGGTTTAACCCCGGCATCCTGGTCAAATTTGCCCATTGGCCTCTGTCCATCATGGCCTCCTAATCATCCCCATATTATACTGATTGGCTTCATCACTCTGTCTCCTCTCCACCAGTAAGCTGGTGTGTGTTCTGGCGCAATATGGCTGCCGTCGGTGGATGCTGCACATTGGTGGTGGTTGAGGAGATTCCCCCTTCCATGTGTTAAAGCGCTTTGAGTACCTAGAAAAGCGCTATATAAATGTAACAAATTAATTATGCCGACTTTACCCTGGATATCGTGGCTCTGCATACACCACAAAGACTTGCTGTCCCGGTCCCAGATGAGCCAGAGATATGCACACCAACAATTTGTCCTCTTCTGAACTGTTAATTGCAATATTTTATGTACATCTGTGCTATCGCTCTGCTAATTCAACCTTCACACTCAGCTCTTATTGATGGAATCAATGTCCAATCAGTGAAGATTCAATTCAATTAAAAAAACTTCGTCTATCCCCACAAACAATCCAATACAAAAAAATCCCAACACATAACATTAGTTTTAAAACATCATTAAAAACATTAAGACCTACACAGGTCTTAAGAAAAACAATATTAATCTTAAGATCCCATTTAAAATACCAATAGTAGTTAAAGCAACACTAAGTAAGATTTTTTTACCTTAAAGTAACAACAGGTCGTTTTTTGCTCTCGGGCTCCCCCTACAGTTGGGAAACAGTATTGTCCTCTACTACTGTCGTAAACTGTCATCCTACATGCACGTGCATTTGTTGACAACCATGATAGCCCTGAACACTGTAGGAGGAGGTCACATGCAGGTGTTCTCGCGTGTGTGAAATGTCTTCATCCCAGGTACAGTGGCATATATTTCAGCATGTCATATGAATATAATTTCATGTGTTTTATTTTTGTTATAACGACAAATGATCGCGTTTACAAGCCAGCGTCATTATAGTAGCCTAGTCTATTGGTTACCGTTTTACTGAATCTATATGATACTTCAATGCAATGTTTGAGTGGTTGATAATAACCATATATCGTCAATATTATAATATCAAGCTACCATAAATGAATCTGCAAATTTTACAAATCGATTTGCATTATAGCTTGAGGCAAGACAAATAAACAAATATCACAGACATGTTAGGTATCCTAAAATATGATTTTATTAATAATCTTCCTCCTTTCTTTGTACATGTTGAGTAGACTACACTTTTTAGGTCAAACATTTGCTATTTGCATTTCATCGATTGCAAAGTTCAAATCAGAACGAGAATACTAGCGATAGCTAACCATCAAAAACTAGAATATCGTTTACTAGCTACCAGATTGATAATTCGCTACTACTCTAGCGAATTAGAGAGGTTAGAGAGAGGCATTCTTTTTTCGATGGGGGGTTCGATGCTCCCTGCACACGCAAGGTCTCTCGCTCGCTTTCTCTCTCTGCCGTCCGCGCGCGTTGGAGCACAGTCTCTGTCTCGCGTGCGCGCTCGCTCTAGATTCCGGGAGATTTGAACTAATTTGCGGTATAACTTGTCGATCACGAGTGGCTCAACAGGTAGAGATCTATAGATAAACTCATCTTTCAGGCATTTGACCGACCGGGTTGACAATTTAGCGTGAGAAACCGGGGGTGTGGCGTGTGAGCGTGTGAAACCAATCAAATGCGGGTGTCTCACGGCCAATGCGTGAGAGTTGGCAGCTCTGCAATGTTGATCCTCGTTCTGCCTTTAACGCGATCACTTTCTCTTTTTCTCTTTTTGCTTTGCTCCGATAAAACCTTTGCTTTCTTGTTTTTCTGTGCTGCTTCGGCCATGACTATAACATTTGGCTCGCAAGTCCGATTTTAAGGAAGTGGGGGTGGTGGTGGAAGTGACGTATATGCCGTTAAGCAGTCGAATTTTGTAGTTCTCTTTGTTCGCCGGTTACTACCCGAGACCCGAAGTTTAAAAGTACGATTAAAAACGCTACAGACCCCATCAGGCTATGGCAGACGTGTCATTCAACCTATTGTAAGTCGATGTACCATCACAAGAGACTTGGAAATATATTATGAAGGCTGAAAAGTTACCTGTTGTTACTTTAAAATAATGTTTCTAAAATCGTTTCAGTGGTTCATCAAGTCGTAACAGGGTGAAAGCCACTTCTGGATTCGCTTTGCGGTCCTATATCTGCTATAACCACGCAATGTAAGATTGGCAGATCGGGTCGCGTTTCTGTAGTTCTAATGAGACATAAGAAAACTACAAATTTGACTTGCTTTACGTCAAGCGTTACAATAGTCATTATTTTGTTTTTCTTCGTTTCTGATGTCGCAATACATCATACTTTCATGAAATCATGCAACATACTCTACCTTGTCTGTGGACATCGTTCATTCCAAAGCCGGCGCTGGATAAACAACGAGCGCGCGTGCGACAGTAGGCTGCGGTAGGCTAAATTATTTACGACAGCGGTGATGGACAATTCCGCTTCCAACCTGTAGGGCGACGGCAAAGGGGAAAAGTTACTTGGTGTTGCTTTAAACGTCTTCTTATATGTGGTCTTTTTTACCAAAGGTACTTTATACCATCTGCTAGAAGGAAGTAACTGAAATGCACTATACAGGAGATGGGAAGAATCCGTCACAATAACTGAGGCTTTCCTTTTTTACTCCCACTGTGTAAATATCTGTAAGCGATCCTTGTTTCTCCCCAATTACTTTACCAGGCAAATTTACAATCCTTAAAAGTCTGTTTTTACTTTTAACAGAGCGAGAGAGAGTTGAACCAAAATACGATATTAAAAGTGAACACAGATTCAATAAGTGATTTATATACTACATCACAACATCAGAATGTCCTTTTCAATATCAAAACTCCTCAGTTTCCTCAATAAGCCTAGACGTTGATAAGCCTTCTTAATGCTTATCAAATGTAAACTTGTGGTCAATTTCTGTACCTAGATATTTAAAAGATCCTACTGTACTTGCTCAACTTCCTCTCCATTAATTGACAAAGGCTTAAAAAGTATTCCTGCATTATTAGTCCCACAGCACATTTATTTAGTTTTACTAGTATTAAGCTGCAAAGAAATCTCCTCCATCCAGGTTGTATAAAAAATCTCAAAATTAAAATAATGATCCAATTATTGAGAATCCTTCACACATCCCACCAATATCATGTCCTCTGCGTATTTTATAAGCATCAAATTATCCCTATTACACGTCATCTCATTTGTATAAATAGAAACAAGAAAATATAAATAGAAAAAAGATTTGGAGATAAAACCCATTCCTGTGGGAGACCAGTATTTAAAACCACATTCTCTGACTTTCTGCCATTAACCAGCACATGTGGTCGGTCCAGTAAGAAACTATTAAAATAAAAAGTTTGAGGCACATGCAATTCCTCCAAACGCCTCAGAAGTGTGTTATATTCACCGTATTAAAGGCAGAAGAGAAGTCCATAAATAAAATCCTAACACAGGAGTCTGCCGCATCCATATGTTTTGCCACCTCGTCCAGCAGAGTGAGACTGGCATCTTTGGGTCCACGCCCAACTCTACGCAAATGGCAAAGGATCAAGGTTAACAG